TTCACTTAGGAAATCACATGGTAACATTTCATTGAAGGGTCTTTTGTTCTTATTAAAATAGTGGCTATAGAATCTGGTTGATAGAATTTTATAAAAACTAATATATTTCTGATGGGTGTACACAACACTCTTGACTTCAGGTGAAGTGGAGAAAAAAGATACAATTTTATACAAATTATCTGTTGTCAATGGGAGCACCATTTCTTAATGCTATTAGTGATCATCTCTCTCCACCCTGCCCTCAGGAGCACTTACACTAATGTAGTTCATGGAAAACATCCAATAAGGTTTTCTTTGTTGTCTGAACATTTTCAGAGAGCTACAGAATAGATGGTCGGGGGAGGGTGATCCTATTCTTTGGAGAGGCATACAAATATTGCAAGTAATTTCAACGCACCCTTTGTTGTGAATTCTTAAGTGGCAAATATATGTTTACAATGAAAAGTGAAAATGCTCAGGGTATGTGTTCTATATATTATTACATTTCAGTAGCTTTGTATGTAGGAAAGCCAAGTAATTTTATTATTACGTTGCGAGATTTTTTTTTCATGAGCATATTGCAGAGTAAAGCAGTGCATAGGTCTCACCAGGTTCACTTAAAAAACAACGCGACTTTCAGGATTGGCCTATGCAGGGCTTTTTTGTAGAAAAAGCCCAGCAGGAACTCATTAGCATAATAGGCCATACCCAACAGCAGGAACTCATTAGCATATTAGGCCACACCCCTGACAGCACAGCTCATTCACATATTAGGCCACACCCCCATGTTGCCAGAAGTGTGGTCATCCAGCCACACCCACCTTTTGCTTCTTATTCTCTTTACCTTGTTTGTTGTCAAAACCCAGGGCTTTTTGCATGTTTGGCCACACACCCCTAATTGTAGCCAATCTGAATGAGTTTCTGCTGTTGGGTGTGACCTATTATGCTAATGAGTTCCTGCTGGGTGTGGCCAACTTGGGAGCAGCCGGAACTCCGTTCCTGTGCATTCCTGCCCCAAAATAGCCCTGGGCCTATGACTTAGACATCCCTGGCTGGTTGTGTTTGCACTTTTAGGGGCAGACTGTTGCCTGCAGAATTAATGACAGGGATTTCCCCAGTGTCATCTTGATTCATACCTTTTTTTTTTTTACAGGATGGCAATAATGGGTCTCCAGGAAGAGACACTGCTTCACCTTAAAGTAATCATTTCCCCACCAGGCCAGACCTTCCCTGACCTATTTACCTTAACTATGAAACCACAAGGCATAACACCTTTCTGCCATCCCAGGCCGCTTCCCCTTCTAACAACAGAGGGTCATTAAGCAACCATTAGCTACAATCATGCAAAATATCCCGGGTCTAGTCCTGAGAACACTGTTCAGTCTTTCCCCAACACATTGTTTCACCCCTAGCTAATCCCATCAGGTACTGTTGTAGGGGGGCAGTCACGTCACCATGCCCTCAGGTAGCAATGTACCACATAACTAGACATGCTTTGCACCATGTAGTGTGTGTGTGTCTTGGGCACCCACTTTGCATCACACCGGCAAACACATTTGGGTTCCTTCCATCTTCACTTCTCCACAAACTTCACTTCTCTTCTGGACTGGTAACCAATGCTCCCTCTAAGCTGTGGAGTCTTGTGAGCAAAAATTCTACTTTGTGAGCTACTGGTATTAAAGTTGATTTGGCTGCTAAATAAATTAGTTTGCTCTGGAGCCATCCTTCCTGAGCTAAGACAGGTATGAGCCAGAGGCTAAAAAACTGTGAGCTAGCTCACACTAACTCAGCTTAGAGGAAACACTGCTGGTAACTATAATGACCCCCAGAAAATCCCTCCTATATTCCTACTCCTGTCTGCATTTCTGTTAGCTTATGTGTATGTTTTTACTGTGTGCTTTTACTTACGTAAGGAGCTGCGGTGGCTCAAGTGGTTAAGACGCTGAACCACAGGCTGTGGAAGGTCGGTAGTTCAGCAGTTCCAGACCCGAGTGCCACATGACGGAGTGAGCTCCCGTCTCTAGTTCCAGCTCCTGCCAACCTAGTTTTTAGTGAATTGTATTTATTGTATTTTATACTGTTTTGTATTGTTTTATTGTTTTAACCTCGGCATTTATGCCCTTTGTGAGCCGCCCTGAGCCTTCGGGGAGGACAGGATATATTTTTTTTTTGTAATAAATAAAATAAATAAATCAGAGCTCTGGACCCCTGTTATGTTCTCCTGGTAAGAGCCAGAATGATGTTCCTCCCTCACTGACACCACTTTCAGTTTTCCTTCCAAGAAGAATTGCTGAGTCCAGAGAGAGCCGCAAGGGGTAAGAGCCAGAATGATGTTCCTCCCTCGGGGGAGAGCCGCGAGGGGTAGTTTTTGCTCCTGCAGGGCTGGGCAGGGGCCCTTTAAATGCCTCCGGCGGCCGGGGGCGCTACCGCCAGTCGCCAGTTTCCCGCGAAACGTTCCCTGGCCTCCCTCAGCCCCAGGGCGGCGCACATGAATTCCTCCTGCCAAAATCCGCCCCTCGCCGCATAATTCGAAAAAATCTATTCTTTTCTGAACATGCTACAAGTTACTATCCGCGTAAAGGACTTTTAAAAATTTTTTAACATAAAAAGGAATAAGAAAGAGGAGCTAGGAGGGAGAAAAAAGAAAGAAACCCATCTCGGAAGCCCGACCGGATCACTTCTCTGCGCCTACCGCTTCCGGAACAGTGCGCGTCACCGTATGCTTCGGGTTGACGCGCCCGTCCTCTCTCCTCTCTCTCCTCCTCCACGCCCCTCCCTTTCCCCCTCCTCCGCGCTCGGGCTGGCCGGGAGGGAGGGACGAGGCGGCCATCTTGGGCTCGCTCGGGCTGTGCGTGTGCGAGCGAGGGGAGGGGGGGAGGAGGCAGGCAGGCCGGGGCAGGGAGTGACTGGCTGGCTCCTTTGCGGAAGTGGGCGGCTTCACTCCCCACACAGTGGAAGGAGCCGAGCGAGTGTCGGGGGGTCCCTCCGCACCTTTTCCCCAGCGCCGTCTCGACCCGAGGAGGATGGCAGGGCGGCTCCCGGCCTGCGTGGTGGACTGTGGCACAGGGTGAGCGAAGGGGAGACGCGGAGAGAGCGAGCGCGCGAGAGAGAGATGAATGGAAGGAGGAAACCGCTCCTGGCGGCCGTGGCGGCTGCTGCTGCTGCTGACAGTTTGCTTCCAGGCAGCGGAGGCGATAAAGAGGGCGGGGAAGCGAAGCGGCCAAGCTGCAATTCGGTTTTTTTTCCCCGGAGGGGGGGGGTTATGAAGGTGGGTGGGTGGGTTTGCTTGAGTGACTCTCCTTAAAAACAGACCCAGATCAACGCTGGGATTGCGTTCCGCCTATTCTCTCTCTCCCCCCCCACCACCACATGCATATCCTCCCACTCTCTCTCCACACTGATTGCAACACTCGCTTTCCATTTGCGAGATTAGGGGAAGGTGTGCGTGGGGGAGAGTTGCGGAGGGGGAATTAGGAGGGCGTCCGTCCCCCCCCCCCTTTCCTTGCTGGTGTTTGACAAGAACAGTAAATGCAGTCGGGCTGAACTTAAGCGTTTCGCCACCCGCTTTCAGAATTGTGGCTTGGTGGGAGGGGAAGCTGTGGAACCTGGGGGGGGGGGCGCGTCACACCCTTACAGTTTCCTCGCCTCCGTATTTTAAATGTGTGGGATCGCTTCTTGCTCACATCCAGTGGCGTCAGCTTCCGTGAAGATCTTTTTTTCTCTCTCACTTGTCTACCCATTAGAAAGCAATCGAGGTTGTAATCGCCACAGTTCTATTCGTTGTTTAATGGTATGAAGACCGAATGTGTCCCTCTGCTTCCTTTTCGTCTTCACGTGGGGGAAAGGGTCGCCTCTGAAGGGGTCAGTTTCGCAAGAAGATCAGCTTTTCCCTGTCCTTTTTTATCATCCTTTCCCCCCCTAGTTCATTCATTTTCCTTGGAAGCTGCCCTTTTTGCAAGTAGCTTTTCCTGTTCAGTTTTTGAAAGCCTTCCCCCCCCCTTTCATAAGCAATTTGCTTAGTTTAAGTACAGAGTCCACAAGATCAGGATGTACCCAGTATATATTTTTAAAAGAGTTAGCGTAGTTAATATCTTTTAAACTGGGCTTGTTCATTTGATAAAGCAGGACATTTCAGAATAGTGGTTTCACTGTTTAATGCCATGATTTTTCCATATGTGTCATTTATTCAGCATTACTTCTCTGTGTGGGAGCAAAAAAAGTCCACCCTCTTTCTGTATTGAGCAAGCGCAGAGGAACTTCCTTAGTTTTGTCAAAGGCTCTTCCTCCTTTCATGCTTTTATACCTTATAAGGCAGTTTTCAGTGTCAAACCTGAACCAAATCTTTTTTAGAAACAGATTTTAATATTTAGCAATTTTCGGTATGTGATAAGAGAGAAAATAGTGGCTAAATGTATGCCTGTAGATAAGAGTTTTGCAGAGATTCTTCAGGAAGTTCAGTGAACACAAAGCTTTACAGGTATAACTGTAGGGAAGCTAAGACTTCCTACAGTGAGTACTTTGTATCCTTGTGTCAGTTCTCTTGAGAGCTGGGCACAAGGCAAATTCTTTCTTTAATTGGCAGCATCCATCAAGCTTACCCAGGTGATTTTTGCGATATTTTAGTATGTATATTCACAGGTCCTGTTACAGAACTTGTAACATTGTATGCACTGTACAACTTTTTTTTAACATTAGGATCACTTTCATACAGTTCCTCACTGTTTTTGTTGGGGGATGGATTTGCAAAAGAATGTCAATCTAGAAAAGTAATAACCCTGGGAAATCAGACATAAATCATCTTAGGAGCCACTTAAATGAAAGGGCATTGTGAAGGCTGAAATGAGCAAAGGCTTCACGTGATCACTCTTTTTTCCTTGGAGGCTGAAATGAGCAAAGCCTTCACGTGATCACGGTACAACTTTGCTATCTGTTAAACAGGAGTGTATGTATAAACTGTTATGTGTGAATAATTACCTGGCCTTTTAATTTTAAAATTAGAAACATGTTTTTATGAGGAAAAATCATGACCTCAGTGCAGTTCATATGAATGAAACAGAGTATATAAAATTAGGTGGTAATGGTGGGAGAGTTTATCTTGCACTTTTTATTAAATTACATTTTGTATTTATTTTCTTTACACTTACTTGGGCATGCCCTGTCATGGTGAACCTAAAATAGTTTTTTAAAGCAAATTTAGGTTAATGCATAGGTCAAGTCCCCTGCTTTGGAACAGTTTCTTCCAGAAGCTTTGATCTTGCCTAAGAGACCTCTTTATTTTATCTTTAAACTTCTATGTGAGTGAGCATTGATAGTTCATAATACCCTTCCCATGAGTCCTGACTCCCAATTTGGGATTCTAGGGGTGAAGCACAGGAATTCATCCCAGATTCTTCAGCAGGGTCTGCCAGTCAGTGCCTGCATATTTTCTTTTTTGACTATGGCATCACTTAACCAGTGGCTGTGATTTTATAATTTCAAAATGTTTTGTATCTTAACGCTGTCTTAAAATCTAGACTTCTAAAATCTAGACCAGTGGGCAGGGATTGATTGTAGTACCAACACTTAGAACTGGTGCTGAAAGAGGGATGACAGAAGTTTTAACGGGAAGAGCTGATGTGATCTAAAGAGCATATTGCAGAAAATACTGCTTATATAAATGCCCCGCAAATTTGGGGTCCAGCTGCAAAGGTTTACTGACAACTCCCACTTCTAATAAAGATGACTCATGTTTGCATCGATTTACTTTTCATGCAGCAGTGCAGCTACACTAGAGTTTGCTGCAGTCAGTATCAAAAAGTGCATTTCCAAGTATGCAATGGACAGGAAGGTACAATATGGTGTGGTTCCCTTGCATATCCTCTTTGAGTGTTCAGGGACACACCTACCCTCCTTACATATTTATCACTGCAAACCCTAGTGCTGTACTACATTAAATGTGAATCAATTCAGCTAGGTTTGCAAGTTTCTTATGGAGTTAAAGCCTTAAGAAGTGGCACAGTAGCAATTAAAAGGAAAATTTAGTGTCCTGTTGACTTGATTTTTCAGAATATGAAACAAGGTTCAATTTAAACATCACACAAAACTATGGTTTGGGCTTTCAAATGTACAAGTAGGTCATAGTCTAGAGCTGCTTTGCTGCTTTTGTATTGTATCTGTCCATTGTTTCTATCGTTTATGGTGCAGGAGACCTTGGAGCTGGAGCAACAGTCAAAACTGTGGTTTGTCAATTCAGTTACAGTTTTAAACCATAGTTAGCATAGTGTACATGGTTTGTAGCCTCCCTTCAAACCATGGCTTCTGATTTGCTGCCTGGTTACAAGTCATGTTTTGTAATTTTAAACATGTTAGACTGGGCTTTGACTAATTTTTCTAATTTTTCAATTTTCAGGATTTTGTATTTGAATTACCAGTATTTTAAAATTATTGCTGACACAAAACTTAATCCTAACATTTTAGCGATAAAATCAATGGAAAGTGTTCTAGTATATAAATAAGTATAAGGATAACCCTCGTTGTCAGCTTTTTGTTGTGGTGTTAACCATTTAACCTAATTTCACCACAATTTTTTATAATCCCAAGATTGCTTTAAAATCTTCACTTAATTGCGTATTGGGGTATAGAAAGCAACTTGTTAAGAAAATTATTTATCCACTTTTCTTGAATGGTATAAAGTTTACTTATAAATAAGCATTGATAATAACATCATGCACATCTGTTTTTATGTCATACAACAGAACAGTCTGATCCAAAATGGTAAATAAGTTTATAGTTAAATCTAGTCAGTTTTTGTTTTGCTCTATGTCAGCCGATTCCCCTCCTTAAGTACAGCTCTTGTTCCACGTGGCTTTGATCCATACAGGAACCATGATCCCAGGCAAATGGATCCTTCCCTCCCTGTTTCAATACTGGGGAAGGTGGTTGGATCCAGCCCTTTGTACTTTGGCTGAGAAATGCTATAACAAAATCATTACTGAAAATACAAGGAGCCACAATGACATTTCTAGGTGCCAAGGCGACTTTGGCACCTGGGATTTGTTGTGTATTAAACAGTAGCTGAGTATCCCTAGCCATGATTTAGTGTGATACTGGAATGAAGCTAATTTAGCTATGACTTGATTTGGTATAACACATTTGATATTGTGGCTGAACAGACCTACTCGGGCCTGCAGACCTTATTCCAGCCTGCCCTCCTAGGTTTTTCTCACCACCTGGAGAGGCTTTTCTTTCAGTCTTGGGTAGCCTGTCACCACCTGTCCTTTGTAGGAATTGCCCGCTGGGAGGGTCAGGACTCCCAGCCTCCCTTCCAAGTTCTGAGGCCTTGCCTTGGTGTTCCCCACTGCCCAGCACCTGGCCACCACAGTGAGTTTACTGTGTTGTGCACCCATGGAGGAATAGCCGCTTGCCAATTGCCTGCCTTCCCCTGGTGCTCCTCCCTTTAAAATAGTATGTCTGAGATGGTGGAGGTCTATGTGGTGCAGAGAACCCCTACCAGCTTCAAAGTTTATAAAGTATTCAAAATAAATGTTCATAAGCATACTTTTAGCACAGCACCAAATTGAGCATGGGAACAACAAAAATGGGTAAAACATAAATCCTCTGCCTCACTCTCTATAAATGCCCTATCTGATGTTAAAATAGGACAGGGTCCTTAAACATAGGATGTTTTAGATCTCTGCAGAGTTGCCTTTACCTTTAAGCTCCTTCCAGCTCTTCAGGCCAGCAAATGGTCAAAAATGGCTGCCTTCCCAGAGGAGAGGTCAGGTCCACTGCACTGGAAGGCGGGTGCCCCCCTGCACTCATGGCCTCAACACCCAAGGCCAAGAGACCTCCTTCCTCCTGTAAGGAGATTTTATCATATCTTTCTCCACCCCTTGACCAGGTCACTGCAGATCAAAGAGGTGTTTCCTGGAGATCTCCAGGAATCTGTTTTCTGGAGACTCTCTAGCACTCTATTCCTCCAACTGTCTGTTCCCTGCTTGCGGGAGGGCTTGGGTCACCCATTACTTCTCTTGATCTATTAGCATTTGTATGAAGGTGAGCTGATGTACATCTGGGAAGCAATTGAAC